CCCAAAACCCCAAAACCCCAAAACCCCAAAACCCCAAAACCCCAAAACCCCTCTTTGTTAAAAGTTTATTGAATTAAAATGTGAAAGTTTACTTAATTTTATAAAATGGAGCTGGATGAGTACAAAGAATTGAAAGAGCTTTATTCAAGCCTTATCAACTACAACTCTGATAACGAAGACAACTGGACTATTCTGACCAGGATTATCCTAGATAATCCAGATTTTGTCAAATAATGCAGTAAGAAGCGCAAGAGATGAACTCTTCCATATTACTGCTAATAAAAAGTACATGGATAGAAAACAGCAGCAGGAAGAAGAGTTGAAGATATTGAGACAGATCGAAGATGAGCCTACTTTGAAGAAATGAGCAACTAATCGTCCTGAAAAATTTGGCTCAAAGGTAAGATTTTATGTGATTTCGTATAGAGAAATAAGAGAAAGCTCGAGCGTCTGAAGAACTTAGCAGATGCTAAAAAATCTAATATGCTATCCTCTTGATCACGTGTAAATGAAGAGGAAAGTAGTATGTTTATATCTCAGAAATAAAGAGAAATCTCTTCATCATAGTAGACATAGAGGGAACACTAAAAGATTATTTCTTAAAAGAGATCAGAAGTCCAAGCCAAATAATGAACAGAACTATGATCAACGCTCCAATAGTCCCGATCGTCTGAGGAAAGCTGTTTCACAGAAAGAGATTCGAAACAAAGTCAAAAGAGTATCTCAAATAGATACTCAAAAAGTGAAGATAAATACGATCAAGAGAGGCCCTTTTCCAAGTGAAAGATTATACGATGCAGAAAAAATAAAATCTTCACAACAATCAGTATCAAAATTGCCAAGTTCAAGAGGAAGAAATAACCAAGACGATAGTCTTTATAAGTAATGACTTTATTTTTCGATGAATATGATTTAATCTCCTAGAATTATGTCTTGTCTAAATCAATAATTAATAAACTTTATAGATACATTGGAGCTCCTTACGACTCTTCAGGGATCTTTAAGAAAGACAAGAGATTGAAAATGCCGAATTTATTCAAGTCTACCTCAAGGAAATGAAGGAAAAAGTTTAAGAACTCCTTAATGAAACATGCAAAATATTTTGGTATGATATCCAAATTTGCTGAAGAATAAATTATTATTTTTGATTTAGGAATAAATTAGCTTGACTCTGTTCAAATTAAATCTAGTTTTTTAATAATTTAAGTCGAATATTCATTCGAGTCGTAACACAACAATTATAGAAGGAATGAATCCAAAAAGTAGGCTGAGGTCTAGAGTTCTGAGCACGAGCCCTCAAAACAATAGGAATAATACTACTGGACTGCTATCTCCCAAGGTTAGAAATATTGGATCTCAACAAGGTTCACCTACAGGACAACCTAATAAACTATCAGCTTATTTAATCAAAGTATCAAACTTGGTTAAACTTCCCAAAGTGGAGAATAGAACTAAGAATAAGAGGAAGCCACAAGGTAGGTATTTATCTCTAAATTGTATTGAATCAGTCAGAGAGAAAGAAAAGTCCCAGTGAACCTCCCAGATAATCCAAGAATAAAGAAGCAAGTTATATTATCAGCCATTTCAATGGAATTGTTTTATTAGGGGTTTTGGGGTTTTGGGGTTTTGGGGTTTTGGGGTTTTGGGG